GCTGCCTCTTCCCTGCGCCTCGGGATCCTGGGCTGTGCTGAGCCCAGGCTGATCGGGAGCGTTACTGAGGGGTCTGCAGCTGAGAAATCTTCTGATCGCTTTTCTCACACTCTTCTTCTGTTCTCCTCGTTATTCTTCCTTGCCTAAACCTCCAGCTGGTGCTTCCCTAGTGGGAGAGCTCGGGGGGGGTACCTGATGTGCAGGAAAACCCTGGTGCCACAGCTTCCAGCCTTTTCCAGCTCTTCTCCCAGCCCCTCTGCCCATCTCTGTTCAGCAGCACAGGACCCTGCTCAGCCAAGATCTGGTTGTGACACCAGATCCCTCAGCTTTGCCCTTCCTTCTGCCTTCGCCCATGGAGAGCCCCAGGACATGATGCAAGAATCATAGAACAGTTCAGGCTGGAAGGGACCTTAAACATCACTAGTTCCAACCCCCTGCCATGGGCAGGGACACCTCCCACTGGACCAGGTTGCTCAGAGCCCCATCCAAACTCATTCTTGAGCATCTCCAGGGATGGGGCTTCCACAAATTCCCTGGACAACCTGTTCCAGGGTCTCACCACTCTCATAGTGAGGAACTTATTTTCATCTAACCCCAATCTCCCCTCTTCCAGTTTGAAGCCATTACACCTCATCCTGTCACGTGCAACACACGTGCCTGGTGTTTCTAGCAGGACAAAAACACAGTCCTGTCTTGGTTAGACATTGTATAAATCAAACCCAAAATGCCCTTTTTTCATTATTTAAAATCAACCTTTGCTTAATGGAGCTGGGCCAGCTCAGTGTGCAAAGGGTGAGGGGCAAAGACAGTGACCTTCATGGTCTTCAGCTCCACAGCTCCCACAGAAACACAGACCTTGCTCTCCAGCACAGAGTGGGGTTCACCACACTGGTCAGTGCAGTGCAGAGCCAGGCATGGTGGTCACAGGACCCACCATATCACAGCCAGCTTACCCTAAGGAAGCCTCTTCTCAGCCAGCTCAGGTGACGTTACCTGGGGGTTTAACACGTGGGGTTAGATGTTTCTCAGAAACTTTTGCCCGTTGGTATCTAACTAACTGCAGACAAGTGGGCAGAAGTCAGGGATCTTGATAGTTTTCTATGAAGGACAAATTTACTGCACATTAGGGGATGCCAATTACACAGAACGTGCATATTAAAGACACCCAGTGGCAGCATCAAAGTCCCAGTGAAATGTGCACCTCGGAGTACTGTGTGCCTTTCCTTCAGCTAGCTAATGCTCTTCCATTTACGAGTCCACAAGTGCTGAGTAACTCTCAAAACTGGGAGGAGAACATCTCACGGATGGGAGTGAGCAAGTGAATGAAACGAGAAAGGACTGGAGGTGTTCTAGCAGCTACAAAAATGGGAATGCTTGAGGTTCTCCATGAAAGGATAGTGGAGCAGTTCCTATGGCAACACAGACAGTTGCCAGGCTGCAGGAGATGGGTTCTGATGTATGGTACAAGTCATATGTAGTGAGTGATTTTAGACTAAAGACAACACTGATATTTTATACACATGCAATCCCTAATGAGTAATGACAACGTGACTCCTTGGCTCCAGAGGAGAGCAGCTTTCCACACCAAATCAAAGAGGAGCCACCGGGGTAGGGGTGGCAGGATAACTCATACATAACTCATCACAACTTACTCCCAGTTTTGTACTAAGGGCTCCATCTCATGAACAGAAAAATCGTTTTAAAAGATCTGTTTGTTGCTACACATCACAGCTGGAGTGACTAATGCTCCTCCCCAAACCCCAGCAGGCTGGGGCTGCCTCTGCCCCTTCGCCACCCTCGGTGCTCCTGCAAGCGTCGCCTACATCTGAAAACCTTCTGGAGTCCTAAGGAAGTTACCTGGAATTTAACACACTGGGTTTTTATTTAAAAATTCACTGATTCATCCTTAATAAGGTAGGAAAGCCAACGACTGGGGAGTGGCTGCCAGAGCCAAGAGCTCTGTGTGCAGCCCTGGCTTTCCCACCAGCTCGGTGACTCGTCCCAGGCAGCGAGTGCTTTAACAAGGGATTCACAAAAGGAACTGGAAAAGCTCATTTTGGAGTGATTCAAGCCCAGTTTGGGAGGGTGGGGTGGCATGGAAGCTGGCTGTGCTGCTGAAGGGCCCCTCTGGTGGTGTGGGGGTACAGGACCCTCTCCACACAGCCGTGGGGCACCCTGACACCCCTTGCAAAGCTCTGGGTGTTTCCCCACTGCCCCCAGCCTGAACTGCTGCATAAACTCCACCCAAAGCCTCAGGTGTTCTCCTGGAGAGGTTTGGTGGGAGCAGAAGCACCTGCATGGTCCTTCAATGTGTTCAGATACTCTCTGCAGAGTCAGGAAGCACTTGGCAAACTCCCTGTGGGGTCTGGGGTGATGAACAACCGGGGTGCTGCACACTTTGCTACTCCTCAGGGCAGGACAGACACGGCAACAGTGCCCAGCTCTGGAGAACTCAGCACAGCAGAGCCAGGGAGCTGCTGGAGCGGGGCCAGAGGAGCCCCAGCAATGCCCC